GTAAATTGGGGCAGTTCTATCAGTTTTGATGCTATTCACTAGGCAAAAATCTCTTTCATAATATCTTTCCCTTTCCAGAACTTTATAGATGGGTCCTATAATTTCTGATTAGATGAAGAGTGCTTTTAACTAGGAAGAGCCATGCTTAATTCAAGAGGTACTGCGTTAGGAAGAACTGCAGACTGTGTATAAACTATACTTGGATTTTCAGAGCTCACTGTGAAGCCCTCCTGAGCGCCCCACATGGCTTACACCGGGTGCCTCCCAGGAGAGCGCACCTGCCCCAGAGTGAGGGTGGGGCTTGGCCCGGGCACGCCTCCCACACCTGGATGAAGTCAGTGACCATTTATGATTTTTAAATAGCTCATAAACCGTGCTTCTGCCCTCCAGTACGCACTGCAGTTTGGACAGTTTATCCTCTGTGCTGCAAACGCCACGCATGGTGTGATGTTCACGCGTCCTCCACATCCAGGGCGTCTGTAGGTCAAGGTCAGGGTCAGGGTCACTGCAGGAGACCGAACCGTGAGTGAGAGGATAGTGTTGCTGAGGCTGAAACGTCCTCCTTTTTCCCTCACTTGCGGAAGGAACGAGTTTTCAGTTGAAAGCAGAACTCCACGTCTTGTTCTTTGGAGAGTCTTAGAAATGCCAAGAGAGGGAAAGCAGGAGATGTCTGTTCTGGGGCCCGGTAACCTCAGGGGTCTGCAGCGTAGGGAGCACGATGCCCCATCGGGCACTTGTCCCTCACCGTGTAAATGTCACTCAATTTTCTAAACGTTTAAAATGAAAGCAGAAGACCTCTGTGCGCTTAGCTGGCTTGGACGGACCAGACACACTCGTCTTCCCCAGGACTGGGAATGAAAACCAGGGGAAGATAATGACGGGATCAAAATATTCTTAACGGTGTTTGGGAACAAAGATTGGTTTTTGATAGGGGAGCCGCGATCACCCCTTCAGTGTTGTGGTTCCTAGGTTTTGAGGCCGGATATACAGATGGACCTTTAATAGCTTTTTCTTTAATTCCCATTAACGCTCACCACGCAAATTCTCCTAACACGGAGACAGCCTCCGTAGAATCAGCTCCACTTCCTCAGGGTTAAACCCGAGTTGAGCCGTCCGCGCACGGTGCTTCACTGTGGGAGTGTGAGAAAGGGGGTTGTCAAGAAATCGGCATTGACTCGCAGACTTCCTGACACCGAACTTTCTTCTTCAGCCAGGTTTTATTGAGCTGCAGGGTGAGGTGCGTGCAGACAGCCCCCAGGATGAGGAGTCAAAGCAGGGGCTGTTGGACTCCCAGCCTGTGTGACTGTAGAGGGTCGTGGAGGGTCGGGCAGGGACAGAGCCCGTACTCCAGGCTTTGGAGGACTAGTTCGTGCCTGCCCCCCGCCCCAGCTCGGATAGTATCCCTGGAGATGGCCTGTAAGCCTCCTGAGACACCTGCTGCTCCATCAGCTGGGAGGCAGGACTAGGGACCATTATTTGGTGACCTGACTGTGGGAGTCCCAAGTTACTTGAAGCCTACCTTTCACCTGCCTTAAGCAGAAACCGCAGCAGGAGAAATGCCCTGAGTGAGCCAGGAGCTCTTGCTTGCTGAGGGGCGATTGGAATCTTGAGTAAAACTGTATGTTCCTTTCCCCTTTGAGTTGCAAACAGACGCTCTGAAGCCACAGCAGGCCCTCTGGTTGAGTGGCAGCGATGCTGTGAGCGGTGTACGCCCTCCCCCGGGGAAGGCCGGGGGTCTGTCCTGGCTGTGGCATCCACTGCAGCAGGTGGGGCACCAACGCCGAGCGAGGCACCAGGGGCCCGAGGGACCGGCGGGGCGAGCTCCTTGCCGGTTACCTGCAGGTGATGCTCTCAGTATTTTGAAATATGCTGATGCTCCCACCGTCTGGGCCGCCTGAGACTGGGTGAGACGGAAACCCGTCCTGTGTGTGCCCTGAACGGGGTGGAGACCCAGATGGGGTGGAGCGAGGCTGTTCTCGGAGGCGATCCCCGGGCTAACGCACTAATCTCCGCTGTTGCATAATTCCGCCGCCAAGCCGCGGGGCCCAGACTCTTGATTCCCCCATCTGTTCCTTTTCTCGATACTTTTTCAAATTTAAACCCAACCGTTCTTTATCGAAAACATTGCCAGCCTTCCTAGCCCTCTTGGAAGGGCCTCTGAGTCCCCGGGTTACTCTCTGGGCTGGCGCAGGCGGGAGGAGAGCTGAGAGCCCTCCCCATGGCCATCCCATGGCATCTCATCATCCCTGTCCCCAGTGGTGGCTTTTTATAGCAGTCTCAGTGGGACAGGGGACGGGAGGCCTGTGCACGGGCCCCGCGGGCTGCGGTGAGAGGGCCACTCCCCCCCGGAGCAGCTGGGTGGGGGCTGGTGGGGCTGGCGGTCCCGGACGGCGCCCCGGCCTCATGCACTGAATTCGGAGTGTTGTGTTTCGGTGCAGGCTGAGTCGGTGTGGGTGTTTGAATGCTGCTGTTTGCTGTTTTTTAAAGGCCTTCTAGCCCTCCCATGGGGTTGCTGCAGCAGGAATTCTTACCTGTGCTTCAGCCCAGCATACAGACCGCTGACAGGTACCACGTGGCCACGCCTGCTCATAGTGTGCTGTTTGTCGACATGTTTTCCTGCCCATGGTATTCAGCTCTTTGTTCCTCAGTGCTCTTTTTCATGCTTTATTTAATTTTTTAATTTGTTCCGCATTCCTTGGCAAACCATCTGGTTGTAATATTGTTAACATTTTCTTATTTTTTTCCATAAGTTGCCAGTGTTTTTTGTGTTCGATTTAAAAATCATTATGGATCTGGAAATAGCGCAAGTTACACAAAACCGTGAGGCCAAGTGCACGTCAGCTCAGGCACTGAAGTGTGATTCTCTTTTGATAGAACCTAAGGCAGTTGGTCGTAACTCTGGAAGGCTGCTAAAACCGAGTCTGAGTGCATGTTTATTCTTGGGTTTTCATAGCGGTGACGAGTGTTGGGGTCTGGTCTGGGCATCAGCACAGTGTTTTCCTGTGTTTTCAGACCTCACCTTTCTGAATTGAAAAGACTTGGTAGTCTAGAAGACCCCACTTACTCTCCTGTTCTTAAAACACTCAAGAGAATTGGTTCTCTCCACCCCAGCGTGCCCGAGGGACAGACTGACAGAAGTGCAGCCGAGCTGTTCTGCTCTTTACATACAGAACCCCTGGGGCCAGGAGCAGCAGTGTTCTCCTGCATTTCCACTAGCGTCCAGGGGAGGGCGTGCTTTGAGCATCCACGCCCCCGAGCTCAGCGTCCGCAACACCAGTGTCTTTCAGTTGGTCAGAGGCTGGGCTCCCATTAGGGGTCGTAGTCTGGGTCCCCCAGGAGCAGCAAGCGTGTCAGGGCAGCTTGAAGCGGGTGCATCTGGGGCTCACTGACCCTGTGTCCTCACTCCTGAGTTACCCAGCCGGACTTCACTGGAAACGTCCACAGAGAGCTGGGTTTTCTCCGTGGCACTGCTGTTTCACTGTGTTGCTCTTTAAAGTGTCCACGGGCACCCCAGTGTCCTCCTTGCTCTTCTAAAAGGCCTGGTTTTTTTTTCCTTCTATTACATTGCAGCTTTGTGACTTCTGTTGTACGTATTTTATGTAACTCAGGTTTTTAAAACAACAAAACAAAACAAAACATTTTGAGGGGAGGGCATAGCTCAAGTGCTAGAGCACGTGCTTAGCATGCACGGGGGTCCTGGGCTCCATCCCCGGTCCCTCCTCTAAAAATAAATAAGTAAATAAAGCTGATTACTTCCCCTGCCAAAAAAAAAAGAAACATTTTAGAGTTGGTTTCAACTGTTTTATTTCAGCCAATACATAAAAATCTAATTTGAAACCCCTGTCCCTGTGTGTGAGGGACGTTAGGCTGTAGGGCGGGGCGTGGAGGTGGCCGCTACAAATTCCTGAATTAGTGGTTAGAGCTCCTTTCCTTTGACTGAGCCCCCTGAATTTTGCTAGGTTTGTCTTTTCCTTCCTTCATTCTGGTGTCTGAAGTTTCCTGGGAATTCCTCTGTGGTTCCTTCTCTGAAGCACACCCCTCGGGGTGCAGCCAGTGCTCCCGCGTGCGGGTCCCCGGGCTTGGCCACCGCGTCGGGGCCTCAGGAGGCTTCTCCCAGCAGCTCCTACTTCTCTCTCCCCGCCGGTGCCAGACTGCGGTCTCAGGCCCCCAGCTCCTCCCGCTTCTGCTCAGACAGGCGTGAGTCCGGGTGGGCTCGGCCCGGAGGAGCTGGCCCGTCCTGGCATGGCGGGGAGAGACATGCCTGTGCCGGGCGCTGTGCACCGGCCGAGCCTCTCCGAGCCTCTCTGAGCTGCCCAGGCCGCGGGCCACGCTCGCTCAGGCCTCCCTGCCCCGCTGCGGCCTCGCGTCACGGCCAGTGTGGACTGGACCC